GGTAATGGAAATGGTCAACATTTTCTAATGTTACACCATTAAGCTGTATTTCTGGCATTGGAGAGGAGCCCTATTCTTGATCTGCATCTTCTCCCAAAGTGAGGGCATTGGTTTCCAGGTGGAAGGCGGTCCAGTTTGGGGTTGGCTTGACGCACCTTCCTCTTGGCACGTTTCTCTCTTTCACCCTCCATTCGTGCCTCTTCAAATTCTACAGCACTGCTGGTCATTGAGAGTGCACTATCCTTGTTTGTGAAAAAACCCGCAAAGTAATTGGGAATTTAGCAAAAGAAACTGCTGAAAAGAAGAGGGCTAAACAATTATTTATAGTAAAAAGAGAAGGACGGCCTTTATTAATTTTTTTTATCGCTTCTAGAGCTGTTCCCTTGTATCTGGAAGAAATCTGCAATTTCACAAGATCCAATATTTGGTTCTAGAAGGGACTTCAAACCATTTTCTAAAGCCCAGTGATACCTAGAATTCATTTTTTTAAAGACAATTCTTAGAAGACAGCCTTGGCATTAATATAAAACAGCAAGCTTTGCAAAATAACTATTTACAGTGATCTTATAAGCCCAAGCTACATTATTAGGGCAACAAAAAACAAAGAAAAGAAGACAAATTTTGTTTTGGTCATGTCAGGAGCGACTTGAGAGACTGCAAGTCACTTCTGCTGTGAGAGAATTGGCTGTCTGCAAGGACATTGCCCAGGGGATGCCTGGATGTTTTGATGTTTTATCATACTTGTGGGAAGCTTCTCTCATGTCCCCGCATGAGGAGCTGGAGCTGATAGAGGGAGCTCATCCACGCTCTCCCTGGATTCGAACCTGCGACCTGTCAGTCTTCAGTCCTGCCAGCACAGGGGTTTAACCCACTGTGCACCGGGGGCTCCTCCATTAAGACAATGACTGTTTCTTATTTTTGGCCTCCTTGCTTCCCTCCTTCCCAGGGAGAAAAGTCTCACTCCATGATGAGGAGACTGGTCACAACCTCAACATAAAATAGCCTGAGACCACCTCTCACTCAGATTTACCTTATACCAGTTCTTACCCTAACAGTAGAGTGTGTTACAGGAATAATGTTGGCTCAGATGTGTAAATGAATCACACATCTGCTGCTTGTTCTTGCACAATAATTTCTGAATAGGGAAGTCCTGTATATTGATGTGAAGGAGAAAAGTGGAACTTTCTCAGTCCTATGATGAGGATTATGTAATGGTCTAAATAACTGAAAAGTCACAAGATGCCATCAAGGAAACATCAACCATGCAAGGGCTACAATCTTATCATGTGACTATCTACAGGAGAATCCATATAAATGGGTGTTTGTGAAGGGCAGCTTCCCTAAAAGATCTTTGTTTGAGAAACGTGAACTGTCCTTATTATCAGAGATTCCTTGAAATACACGTGACTCCAGATATTCCCAGAACTTCAGGGAAGAGGCTGAAGTGCTAAGTAAACAAGAAAACACAGCAGTTTGAAGATGACCCTAAAAGCGTGTGGTGGTGGGTGAGAAAGAGAGCGGAGAATGGCATCTCTTAGTGGTTGAGTGCGGAGGTGGGTGGTCAAAGCAGGTGAAGACAAGAATAAATGCCTTTTATCCCTCAGTATATTCTCCAAACTGCTTTGGAGTCAATGATGGGGGTGGCTGGTTGTAATGATGGCTGGCTTTTGGAAAGCTGCTGGTCTTCCAAAATTCTTCATTCAATGCCCAGCTCTTTCAGCTTTAGGCGGAGTAATTGGAGATACTGAGAATCTGGATAGCCGTTTCTGAAAGCAAGAAAGGAAGAAAACCAAATGTTTAGTTTCTGACTTTGCCCACTAAATTATCATACAGA